CTTTTCGAATCAGGCCACTTTAAACGCCAGCGCTGGTTTCTGGATGTATCCTTCAAGGAGCCCATTTGTGTGTGTGTGTGGTTTTTCGAGGGTACCTTTTGGGGAAGCCAAATGCGAGATCCGATCCCTCAGATCCCTGCGAGGAGTACATCTCTGAAGTACTGGATCGAGTGAACGAAAAGATCATCATCTTTGCTCATCACCAGAACCTCAGTTGCAACCAGTAGCTTTGCGCGTCCACTTTTTTCCTCTTTGTGTTTCTTGAAGTGGGAAACCCAGTTAAACTCAACCAAGCAAAGACTGTTGTGTTTTAAACAAAAACAAGGAACATGATGGATGAGATCGCCGCGGTGCTCAGCAAGCAACTGTCCAAGGCGGATATCTTTGCAGCTCTGGGCTTGGAATCCGAGGTTTAGGGTGACCTCGCCCCCAGTGTTGGGCAGTGCCGCGATCAATCAAACGGGAATTACCGTACCTGGCGCACTGCATTGAAATCGAGCATTTGGGTTTGTCATGTTTAGAGTGGGTGCTTACAGTACCAGAGCCTAAAAACGGTGGGTGGGAGGCTGCCCGAATCTGCCCAAACACACCTCCAGGTGTTGGTCTATTTGCGTCTTCCCCAACGCGGCGTGTATGGGTGTGGGTGGGTGTTTGTGTGTGTGTGTGTGTGTGTGTGTTTGTGTTTGTGTGTGTTTGTGTGTGTTTGTGTGTGTTTGTGTGTGTGTTTGTGTGTGTGTGTGTGTGTGTGTGTGTTTGTGTGTGTTTGTGTGTGTGTTTGTGTGTGTGTGTTTGTGTGTGTGTGTGTGTGTGTGTTTTTGTGTTTTTTGTGTGTTGTTTTGTGTGTCTTTTCTGTGTGTGTGTGTTTGTGTGTGTGTGTTTGTGTGTTTGTGTGTTTGTGTGTTTGTGTGTTTGTGTGTTTGTGTGTTTGTGTGTTTGTGTGTTGTTGTTGTCTGTGTGTTTGTGTGTGTGTGTGTGTTTGTGTGTTTGTGTGTTTGTGTGGTTGTGGGTTGGTGTGTTTGTGCGTTTTTTTGTTTGTGTGTTTGTGTGTTTTTGTGTGTTTTGTGTGTTTTTTTGTGTGTTTGTGTTGTTGTTTGTGTTTGTGTTTTTTGTGTGTTTTTGTGTTTGTGTGTTTGTGTTTTTGTGTTTTTTGTGTGTGTTTGTGTGTGTGTGTGTTTTTGCGTTTGTGTGTTTCTGTGTGTTTCTGTGTGTGTGTGTGTGTGTGTGTGTGTGTGTGTGTGTGTGTGTGTGTGTGTGTGTGTGTGTTTGTGTGTTTTTGTGTGTGTTTTGTGTGTTTGTGTGTGTGTGTGTGTTTGTGTTGTTTTTTGTGTGTTTTTGTGTGTTTGTGTTTTTGTGTGTGTGTGTGTTTGTGTGTTTGTGTGTTTGTGTGTTTGTGTGTGTTTGTGTATTTGTGTGTGTGTGTGTTTGTGTGTGTGTGTTTGTGTGTGTTTGTGTGTGTGTGTGTGTGTTTGTGTGTGTGTTTTTTGCATTTGTGTGTTTGTGTGTGTTTCTGTGTGTGTGTGTTTGTGTGTTTTTGTGTGTGTTTTGTGTGTTTGTGTGTGTGTTTTTGTGTTGTTGTTTTGTGTGTTTGTGTGTGTTTGTGTGTGTGTGTGTTTTTTTTTTTGTGTGTGTGTGTGTGTTTGTGTGTGTGTGTGTTTGTGTGTGTTTGTGTGTGTGTGTGTTTGTTTGTTTGTGTGTTTGTTTGTTTGTGTGTGTGTGTTTGTGTGTGGTTGTGTGTGTTTGGCCATGCTATGCAACTTTATACCAAATGGAAAACTTAGGCTTGGACAAATGTGAGCAGGGAATCAACCGTTAGTCATGGCTTAATTATGCGAAATCGGCCCCCAAAGGATCCAAAATTGCCATGGAATATATGGACCTGTACCATCAGCCTTTTAGCTTCTGGTGGTATTGTGGGATATGTCAAGCCGGCAACTTCCTAATGTCCCCATCCATACTGTGGATGGACAAATTCCTGCACAAGTGGGGGCCTGCCCCAGTATTCACACGGTTTCATCCATACAAACTGGTGCAGGATTTCGTCCATTCACAGGGCTGGGAAAGACGCTCTGCAGGGCCACAGCTTTGTGCGCATTGACGGACACACAGCTCAAGCGAAGCGGCCTGAGATGGTACAGAAGTTCCAGGCCAGTGCTTTCGTGAAAACAGCCCGCCCTGGGTATGTATAACAAACTTTGCTCTTCCTGTAAATCAACCCGAAAAGAGTACCAAAGAAAGACGCACCCATCAAACCAGGGATCCTGACGACTTCAGACACGCCTCGGCAAAGCCATGTGGGGTGCGAGTTTTGGTCAGAGCCATGCCTTTGATCTCCATTCGAAGGCCTCGAAAAACCGAGGGGTTCGGGGAGCTCCTCCACGAAAATGGAAAGCCATGGAGAGGTGACCATTGGCTTGGAAGCCAATTGCTGGAGAATCCACAGGTTTGTCCAGGCACACTGTTGAGTGAAGTACCTGTACAGCAAGCTTCTGACATTTTTGGG